ATCGACGAACTACGTGAACTAACGAAGGTACGGGCTAATCGGGAGCCTCGTGATGTTTACAAAAGGAACAATGCCCTTCGTGTCTCATTCATTATACAGATGATCCAACCATTGGGGCTGATAGAACTCATTGTCGGCTTTCCAACGCACTTCGAACCACTCAAATCCGAGTTCGGACGAAGAAGTTACGGCGGAAACGAACAAACATACAAAAAAAAGCGGCGTCTCAACACTTCGAGGTGTCTCGGCCAAGCGAGACACCACACCCTAAGGTGTCTCGGCCAAAGCCGAGACACCCTAGGGTGTCTCGGCCCAAACCGAGACACCCTAGCCCTAGGGTGTCTCGGATCAAGGGGAGACACCCTGGGGTGTCTCCAACGTAGATTTGGGCCTTTAGGTGGTTTTAACCGCTCCAAACTCCCCCGGGCCTATAAATACAAGCCTCAGGCCCTCATTTTTCAAGATCTGGAATTCTCGTGCCTCGGCGAAGCCCTGCCGGATTGAATACAAGCCTCAGGCCCTCATTTTTCAAGATCTGGAATTCTCGTGCCTCGGCGAAGCCCTGCCGGATTAAAGACTTAAAGTGCACGGATTTCAGAGAGGAGGAGGAGAGATCGGATCGAGTTCTTCAACGTAAGAGAGAGAGATTCGTCAGATCTACAGTTTCCCGGATCCGTTCCTTAGGATTATCCCGTTGCGATAATCTTAAGAAGAGTGATTATCTCGCTTCGTCGAGATAAGAGCTACGGTTTTCTCGATCCCTCGTGGATAGACGAAGCTCTGTCCAATTTTTCAGCAATCAGATTTGATCGACGGTGGTCCACGGATAAACCCCGGCACAGGCAAAGATCCCACGCAAGCAGAAGGCCGATAAACAATCTCTGCGTTTGTTTGATAAAGTTGTAAATTTTTTTTTATTTTCATTATGTAAGGAGATCTTATAAAAAGATCAACTTTTTATTTCATTCGAGTTTATTGTAACGACTAAAGTTGTAATAGATTCGATAGCAATGAAAACAACAACTTTCACAGCAAACAACATGATCAACCGCGGGCCATCTGCGGCTCTCAGTTATAGGATACCTGAAGAAATTTGGACCGAAAAGAAACTGAAGCTAGAAAACTTACGAGTATTTGGTTGTGACGTTGTAGGCTATAAAAATTGCCTTGACAATAGGAAGATATAAAAATCCGCCTGTATGAGTACGCCCGCACCCGGAAGAGCCGGACAAGCTCGCTTTAATCGCCGAGCCCTCCATCAAGAGCTCAATCCCGCCCACATGCTTGACTCGTCAGCACGAGTCGAGCTCACTCAAGAGTTGAGTTCACCAGCACAAACGAAGCTCGCCCTCGTGCTTGACCCGTCAGCACGAGTCAAATCCAAACTCGCCTGCACGATCAGACGATCAAAAACTCGCCTGCATACTTGACCTGCCTGCACGAGTCTAGTTCATTCAAGCGCTGAGCTTACCTGCAGCCAGGCGATCAACAAATTTGCCAAACGCGCCAGAGTACTAGGCGGCTGTGTTGTCACGTACAGTGATGGGCCTTCCCATTTCCCGTAACGTGAAGAAAAGGAGTACAGTGCTCCGAGCCCATCAAGCAGTCGTTCACAGTATAAGTGAGAGGCATAACATCTCTCAACAGTACATGGTCACATCCCATGATTCAAGGGAGTAATCATGTTGTCTCTTCTCTATAAAAAAAAAGCCTCTCCTAGCTACGGGAGAGGGGTTCGCTCTTCGGCTGACTAGGTCACTTCTCAGTTGATCGGCAACCCGCTCTTTGCATAAACCCTGCACTGTAGCACCTTCTTCAAGCTTTCGACCTTGATCGCCATCAAGCTCGGAAACTCGAACTCGATCAATACGAGCTTCTACTGCGTACTGAAGCTCGCCTGCAACTTTGATCGGATCGTTCAAGGGAAGCAAACTCGGTGCGAGAACCGAGAGAGGCGTCTTATCACTACCAAAGACCCTACGTTAAACAAGGAGGACATTCACTCCGCTTCTGTTGTAACTTTGATTTATTAGTTTGTAATAAGTCATTCTTATCAATACAAACGAAATCCCCTGTTTTGGGAAATCAAATTTTACGCCTACAGACGTCTATGTCATGACCAATCCTGCAGACCGGTCAAAGTTTGATTTAAAGTCAAAGAAGCTCTCTTTCATCGGCTATGGAGGAAATGAGTATGTGTACCGTTTCTGGGATCACGCTGCGCGCAAGATGATGCGCAATTGTGATGTCATGTTCCATGATGATGCGGTGTACTAGACTAAAAAGGTGAGTGAGAGTCAGCTATCTCCCCCTATTTTCCCAGATATTACTGACAGTGAGGACGACGGTGAGATACCAGTCAGCATAGAAGACGGAGACCAAGAGAACGTGTCGGATGCACAGCAGCAGGATCTAGCAGAGCTGCTGATCGCAGTTCGCAAAGCTCCAAGAAATCTGAGGGTGTCAGAGAGGTACCTTTCCACCAAGACTTATCTTCTCCTGACTGACAGTGGTGAGCCAGAGAGCTATGAGAAGGTACAACAGACCGACAAAGCTCGGGGCGAGTGGGAGTCTGCCATGGAGGAAGAAATGAAATCATTGACGAAGAATGGGACGTTGGAGCTCGTAAAGCTTCTAAGAGGGCGAAAGGCTCTCAATTGGTAGATTTATCGGGTCAAGGATGAAGCTGATGGACGGAGACGCTACAATACGAGGCTTGTAGTGAAGGGCTATGAGCAGAAAGCAGGGATAGATTATTCTGACGTTTTCGCTCTCGTCGTCAAGTTGACTACGATCCGGAGTATGCTGAGTATTGTGGCAGTTTGAGATCTCCATCTAGAACAGATGGATGTGAAGATAACATTCTTTCATAGAGATTTGGAGGAAGAGAGCTATATGCATCAAGCAGTGGGCTTCGAGGAACGAGACAGGAAGGGCCTCGTGTGTTACATGCGCAAGAGCTTGTATGGTCTGAAGCAAGCTCCGCGACAGCGGTACATGAAGTTCGAAAACTTTATAGAGAACAGTTTTCTTAAATGCGACACAGACCACTGCTGCTTTATCAAGAGGTATGGTGAATCCTATGTGATACTCTTGATTTATATTGATGACATGTTGATTGCAGGGCCTGACTTGGCCCGCATTAAGGAACTCAAAGGGCGTCTCTTTGAGAGATTCAAAACGAAGGATCTGGGTCCAGCAAACCAGATTCTTAGGATGAGGATCATCAGAGACAGATCAACACATAGGCTGAGGTTGTCTCAGAAGGTCTATATTGAGAAGATTCTTAAAAAGTTTGCCATGGAAAAAACTAAACCAGTAGGCTCGCCGTTTGCAAGTCATTTCAAGCTATCGAAGACCCAAACACCAGAGACTGCTGAAGAGCATGAGTTCATAGCCAACATACCATACGCATCTGTCGTCGGGAGTTTGATGTATGTGATGGTGTGCACGAGGCCAGATATTGCACAAGGAGTGAAAGTTGTGAGCCGCTTCATGAGCAATCCAGGAAAGCACCACTAGGGTGCGGTCAAGCGGCTTTTACGCTACTTGAGATGCTCGTCCGACCGTTGTCTTGAGTATCGCGGGGTGAATTTACAGTTAGAGGGTTTTTGTGATACAGACTACGCCGGGGACATAGACTCAAGAAGGAGCACGAGTGGCTACATTTTCATCTTGAGTGGTGGAGCGATATGTTGGAGGTTCAAGTTATAGGATATTGTGGCTATGTCGACAACCGAAGCCGAGTACGTGTCTGCAGCAGAGGCAACAAAGGAGTTGCTATGGTTGAAAACTTTTCTTCTCGAGTTTGGGGTAATATTTGAAAAATACTTCATTCACTGCGACAGTCAGAGTATCATTCACTTATTAGAGAACGACGCATTCCATGCTCGGACCAAGTATGTTGATGTGAAGCATCATGCCATACAGAGATGGCAAAGAAAAAACGAGTTCAAGCTTGTAAAGATTGATACGAGGTACAATCCAGCCGATATGCTGACCAAGTCAGTTCCGCTCGAGAAGGTGAGGCTGTGTACAACATCATATGGTCTCCTTTGAGAAAGTTGAGGGTCGTGCAAGACGTTAAAGATACCAAGATATCCGGATAATGCAACCAAGAAACAGAGTTCGTTGAGAAGACTCTCCAAATGGGAGATTGTTGAGAGAGTGGATAGCCTTGTCATCAAAAAATTAGCAGTATTCACCTACCCCCGTGCTATAGTGTTCACCTACCCCAAATAGTGTTCACCTACCCCCATGAGAAAACTTATAAATACCCCCCTAAGCTTGATTTGTAAGGTATCTCAGTAATAGAGAGAGAAAGAGAACTATACAGATGTAAGTAATATCATTGAGAGATCTTGAGAGAGAGTTTGTAAGAATTCTTGGAGAGTATCTTGATCAAGAGGGTGTTCTCTTTTATCTTTTTCCTTTATAACCTTGAAAGGAATATAAAAGAATTGGGCGTCGTCGTAGCACCGTGGAGTAGCTCCGTAAGAGGAAACCACATTATATTTGTGAGCATTGTGATTGAATTCGTGTTTGCTGGTTTTATTCTGTGGTTCCAAGATCGTTTGTGTGTGTTTTGCGTCTCCGTTTGAGGCGTTCTTGTTGGCGTGTATCCTAACAGGATTAAGCATCCATTGTGCATGATGAAGATTTATCAGGACATGACAAATCTTCATAATCACTGGTTTGACAATAATGAAGATTTATGAGAACATGATAGCTTGAAAACTATTTATATGTAAAGACAATCAATTAAAATGGCCACTTCACAATAATTCGTATTGGATTATGTCCATATATAAGAGCATGAGATATAGTCCAGCTAAGCTTGGAATGACTTCAAAAAGATTTTTTTGTAAGACTTTAACTACGCAGGCTCTGGATTTGATATGTTTTTATGCATGTTATCATGTAACCTTTTCTTGAATGAATGTGTTTTTTGTCGATTTGAAAATCTATGTGGTAAATTAACGCATTTGTTTAATTATCAGAAGGGTCCGTCCTCCACTTACATTTCGCCTCCTTGCATCCTTTTTTGTTCTCGGGCTCATTGGGTAAGATCCTGTAGGAAATCATTCAGACTTCTTTACTTGGTACTCTTGCAATTGGCTGGATATATAACATACAGTTTCATACCTAAGTAATGATTGGTCATCTTAATGTCTAACTTATACCAGGATCTTTGGCAACCAGCTTTTATTTCTTATTGGTTTGAACTACACAAATCCAACCTATGCTTCTGCTATTCAGCCTGCAATACCAGTTTTTACATTTATCCTGGCTGTAATTATGCGGTGAGTGATTTTATGATTCAGCTAAAGTTGCTGCATATTATCTTGAGTTTCTTCATGTCAGACCTCATTTTGGAAGTTTACTTGGTGCAGTACTGAGACAGTCAACTTATTTACAACTGAAGGCCGTCTGAAGGTTATAGGGACCCCTGTCTGTGTTTTTGGTGCAATTTTGATGGCTGTGTATAGAGGTCCATCTATAATTGGAAAGAGCAGCATAGACCTAGCAACTGAAAATGTGAATATTATATCTCACCATTCTGATGATATTGGGTGGTTAGCATCTCGGTTGATTAAGTTTGGTCTTACGCACTGGCACATTGGTGTTTTGTGCTTAATTGCAAATTGTTTCTGCATGGGTGCTTATCTCGCTTTACAGGTAGGAAAGTCGAAGCAATGTTTTCTTACTACATATTTGGATCTTACTACACATGATTACTTTTGTGATAGTACGCCTCATCTTTGATGCTTCTTTGTTGTATAGAAAAATTTTATGTGTGTCCATGATGCATCCTGAAACTACATTATTTTTCAGCAAGTTCAGTTGATCCTTTTCACACGTTGTGACAGAAAGAATATAAAAGAGTAAAATTCGTAAGTGTAAGCAAACCACATGTTTTCTTAACCTTCTGATAGACTTAGATTCTGTGTTGCATCTTTCACTTGCAAGGTAGACTGGATATCCTTGAGGATGAAAACTTATCCAAACATGAAGATATTTGGATGTATTAAAAGGACACTTTTTTGTTTAAATGAATGAAGGGCGTGTAAGCTTCTTAGTGTTGAACTATTGTAATCGCTAACAGAGAGTAATGAAGCGGATATCCTACAAATACCGCCTCATATGGATATCATAACAAATAATGTTATTTACTTTAGTAGAAGTTTTATCTACTATCTATAACATCGGTTTGCTTTTTCTTTTTCGGTTTTTTCTTGTCCTGCATCTATTGCTTATATGCCTGACAATTTTAGGCTCCTGTGTTGAAGAAGTATCCAGCCAGCTTATCTTTAACTGCTAATGCATATGCCTTTGGGGTGTTCTTTATGCTCTTGTCGGGATTAATTGCAAGCAATGGTCACGAGGACTGGACTTTTACGCAATCTGAAATCATTGCCATTCTTTATGCTGTAAGTTTCTGCTTAGCAATTTTTTTCCCCACTTATATAAAGTACGAAACTCAGGAAAGAGTACTTGCAACATATGATAATCTTTTGGAATTTGCATTTTCTATATGATTTAGATATTTCATCCATTTTCTATGATGTTTGTAAAACGAATCATGCTTATTAACCGTGCATATTGCATCCTGTCCCATTTTTAATTATCTCACAACTTGTGCACTTGCTTCTTTATAATCTTTCATTATTTTCAGACAATATTATTTCCTGTTATCTATTTTATCTAGAACCTCTTTTTGGGAGGACCTATATTTGCATGTATTCATACATTTAACTGTGACATGTATAGTTAGCACCTTACAAACTTCGCTGCTGTCTGCTCTTTCCTCTCTCTGTTTCAAGATTTTGAATTATATGGGCATACACGGTGATAAAGCATTTGAATCATCTTCCTTCTTTTATTCAGGGAATTGGTACATCTGCTATCGGTTATGGGCTAATAACCTGGTCTAATAAAATTCTAGGGCCTGCGTTGGTGGCTCTTTATAATCCTCTTCAACCAGTAATATCGACTTTCTTATCAACAATATTCCTCGGGAGCCCGGTCTTTCTTGGAAGGTTTAGCTCCAATTTACGTCATTATGTGATTACCTTAGAATTGTTTAGTTCGAGTTATCCGTTACAAAATTTCTCGATATAGTCCTTCTTATGAGTTTCTTACAATTGCTACTTTGTGTGCAGCATTATTGGGGCAATTTTGATTACTTGCAGCTTATACATGGTCACTTGGGCTTGCTATAAAGAGAGAGAAGATATGCTTGTCCCTGATCCAAATTGTGACACTGAACCTTCGGTTAACGAGGACACGCCACTTATCAAAGGAAACACTGCTCGTGGCTCTTCAGTGGTCCCCTAATTAGTACATCAACTCATTCTGTGATTTCCTCTTTCATTCGTATTGTTGTAAATTAGCAGCATCCAAGGTTACTTTCTATGGTGCAAACCTGCTTCAGAATTGGAACAGAATCCTTTGGTATTGGGTTTCTTTGCGTCATTACTCTCCCTTTAATTCTCCTTGATATGACATTTACTTATTCATTTATTTTCTTGTTTTTTTTTTCCGTTGAAGGTTGACTGTGACTCACATCTGAAGGCGATGTTGGTCAGTTTGCCAAATCGTCGGAGAATTCTGAATACAACTTCTTGATACGAAGTGGTGGTTGTTTTCAGCAGCATTGTAGTAGTAATATCTCATTCATGATGCTTCTGTATATGAAAACTTTGCTATTGGTACTTTGATGTATCTGGAAATTTGGATACCATTGTTTTCGGATGTATTTATTGTATTTGGGTATTAATGGAATATAAAAAAGAAAGACGCATGACTATGCATTTACCTTGTGTATCTACTAAGTAGTGTGTATCGCGGTATTGGATATCCCTGAGCATGAAAATTTTATGAAGGCATGAGCCGTTGTTTTCGGTACTTAGGTGTAGCTCAGTGGTAGAGAGTCTATTAATTGAGAGATCATATTAGTAAATTGATTCGTTTGGAACTAATCACCAAATATCAATGTTATATTGTTATATTCGAGAAAAAAGTGAACAGTTGTAGATTTCTTTTTCCTAACGAGGAATTGAAAACAAAATCATTTTAAGGATTAATTAAAAATTATGTCAACATATCACAGTATCAAGATTTAGCAAAAAACACTTGGATCCTATCATGTAGAAATTTAATAAGTTCACCGTGGTTATGATAATCTCTCTATATATGAAAAAGAAGAAGAAAATGCTTACAAATAAACAATCACAGTACACAAAACGACGGAGAAGAGAGGGGAGAGTCAATCGGGCCTCTGCTTGTTTGCCAATTTTTGGGGGTGTAATATTGTAGATGTCAGGTGCTACAGTATTACACCCAACTCCTCTGTTCGGCTTGATCAAATAGGTGTGGTTACTGTAGCTGAGTTGGCATTACCGTCGCTGAGTTGGCAGCCCCTCAACTTTTCGCAGCGAAAAACAGTGAAATTGGCTTAATTTACTGTAGATGTCAGATATAGTTGGACAATTCACTTCCCTGTCATTGTTGCTACCGGGAGTTTTTACATAAAAAACAACCAAACAAGCCCTCAATGGGAACCCACAGTTTCTGAATCTGACATATTTTCCTTCTCCCAGGATAAAGAATCGAGAACAAGAAATCAAAAAAAAAAAAAAAAAAAAAAAAAAAAAAAAAAAAAAAACATAAAAACAAAGAAACACATAAACTTTCATAAATTAAGCATTAAAAAATCTGCCATTGTACGGATGGCGTCAAGCCCCAAGGATTCGGAGCCTGTGTCTATGTAGATGTCCTGCTATAAATGAAATAAATCGATGCGATAAGCCGCTGACTAGGATTTGGAATCAGGCAGAACCCAAGGAATTGGTTCGGAGAATCCGAGGACCCGAACCGCATCCGATTGCCAACACTTGTCTCCTGGGGGGGACACGGTCCACATGCTTCGCATGAATTTCAAAGTACTGCTTGTGATGACTAACATCAACATCATCCCATGATCCTCATGTACACCCCTTCATGCTATAAATACGTTAGCTAGGGTTAGGGTTTCGGATGCTATCCCTGTTCACTCTACCCTTGCAATTTATCTTCCTAGCTTACTCAAACATTTTATGTTATATCGATGCTAGTTACTTATAATTAATATTTTCATGTAAATAGCCCGAAAATTTTGGGATAAAAGCATTGTTGTTTTTGCTGTTCTTGTTACTCGACGGAGGAGTTGACTGGAGTCAACGGGTATCAATAGTTTTTCGTGTGCGAAATTTATTTTCTATATTGGCCTAATTTAAGTTTTGTTACAAGTAATAGTCTCTTTTTTCTCTCTCCAGCTCTGCAAAGTTTGATCGAAGAACTCTGTTGCTGAGTTATTCTAAGCTTATCATACATCCAGCTTGTTTCTCAGTACAGATTTTTAATGCTGTTCTCTATGACAAAAGTTTTAGATTTTATTTTTCACTTGCTCATATATGGATACACTACCTAATTACGATGTTATTTTGATGCTATGCTAACCTGCACCTCAATGTTTCTCTCATAATGTTCTTTTGAGTTATAATGCATGCCTTTATTGATTGGACACCATGGATATATTATGTACTACCTGTTATTATTAGGTAAAATATCAACTTCTCTTAGATGTCCTAAAGATATTTAAAAGATAAGGAGATAAAGATAGCAAACGTTATGGAAAACAAACCAAACGATGAGCTAACATCACACCTAACAAGTTAGAAACTCCACAGGTTTCGCATTGGGTAGGATAAGATTCTTGAATCAATAGAACACTAGCTATCATTAAGGTTAGGCAATTCTTTGGCATTTGACAGTTCCTTCTGATCTAACCATATAAAAATTCTTAGTCGGTGTGTAGCAACGCATTACCGAAACATAAGTACGACTATTTGGGAATGGGATTAAAACAGGCCAAACATATGTAAATTCTCTGTTAGTGGCATACTGATCAACTAATTAAATGGTTATAGAGATGTTTAGGTTCCAGGTTATGGAACCGAAACATACCCTTGCTGGTTATGCATTTAACGTGCAAAGGCTTGATGCTTACCCAAACAAGTTGCTACAAGATTGTCGCGAGTAATCATGGATAGACTGGCATCCTAAACTAGCAACTATCAACATGAGATACAGGCATGAATCTATCAAGTACATCAGAATGCCATATAGACATTTGGGAGATCTCGACCTCGAGATCATTCAGATGGGAGTTATGTCAAAAGATGAAAGCTTGAAGATCTCAGAACTAGAAAAGATGAGCATAGATGAGTATGTTGATAAGAAGTTGTCAACTAGGAGGCTCTTCAGATTTTTCTACTTCTCAGATCTTCAAGCTTGTTTCAAGGACAGATTTCTGCATAGTGGTGGATAATATGCAATTCAAGTTCCTTGTAGTTCTACATAAAGGAAATAATTCTTCCATTTATGTTAAATTGTTTTCAGGAACTCTTTAGTTGGTGCAAATTGATGACACAGTCAGGTATTAGGAGCAAATGCTATCTGCAAATGAAACTATATTAGGAGCAAATGCTATCTGCAAATGAAACTATGTATTCTATTGCGGATCATCAAATTCATATTTGCTCGAGTGCATCAAAACTATGGAATGTGATATTTAAGGAATGCTCTTCTAGAGTGGAATAGTTTTGAGTATCTACCCGCAGGGTATACTTGATGTTGAGATCCCTTGACAATACATGGAAGCAATTAGTTACCCTTCGAGTGTTTATGATATTTATGCAACTCAATTGGTAATATTTATATTAGTATATCATAGAAAAGATTTAGAATTAGCACAAAGCCTGTCCTTCAAGATAAATTGAAGGAAGCTTTTGCAAGACAATTGTACGGATAGGCATTGATTCTTCATGTTTAGTGCACAATCAGCAAGGGGATGTTTCAGTTGTCTAACTTAAAATATGTGGTCATAAATATCTGCATATTTCTATGTTTAAGCATCACAGTTCGGGGGAAAATCTTTCTTAGTTTAGGATCAGAGACCGGAACTCGGTGCACAATCAATATTCTAGCAGGTCTTGCCGAAATAACAGTAGATCGTGATCCCCCATTGCTTAGTTTATGCATAATATTAATAAAATTCTCTATCTTTGTCTTTCTTTCCGTCCATCATCATCTTTAACTGGTGGATTCAACTTTAAGTAGCTTTTATACAACATTATTTGTGTAATCGTCATAACCCGGATGGCTTTGCATACTTCAGGAATCTTAGTATGTCGTATATATCTAATTTAACCTCTTTTTCCTTCCATTCCATTTCCTGTTATATTCTTACCACGCAGTATGCCAAGTTTTGATAGAAAGCAACAGGTAGTTGGGAGTTTTGCAGATTTCAGGTAGCATGGTTAGAGACAATGGCTTGCATCTTTCAGGTAGTTCCGTTACAAATATTTCAAATTTTCTTGAATTCTCCTGATTAAATTTCCAATTAAATGCATTTTGTTATAAGGAACAAAGGTTTTGATAGAAAAGACAACATCAAGATTTATATAACTTACATTCTACCATTTAGAGTCCAAGGCTACATAACATTAGATCCACGACGTTTATAAAGTAGCATCAAGATGGAATTTAGTAATTTATTATGTACAGATAAAACCTCAAGGAACAGCGAGCGAGCCAGCTTGATCCAAAGATTTCCACGAGGATTCAACCCGCAAAAGATGGAGCTTCTCAACAAATGGTTCCAGTATTTCTGCCTCCTCTGCCGGAGCAAATGCCATGCATATGCTAAGTTCCTGAACTGCTTCAGCAAACCTCCTGTAGGTACAAAAATCAAATAGATCTCTCTCTCGTGATTAATGCCAGAGTTTGAAGAAACTATACCTGCTATAGTACAACAGCATGCCATGGTCTCGTCTCAGACTCCAATTGTGAGGCTGGAGAATCAACAGCCTCTCTGATGCCATAATAGCCAGCCTACACATTAACAATCATCTTTGTAATTGTTTGTATTTTAACAAGTTCAAATTCCCATATTATACATTGCAGAATATCCAGAAAAGATTTGTGCTCTGATCAACAATTCAAATATCTACGTCCAAAATACCATACCTCAGTTCTTGCGGCCGAAGCAATGGAACTTTTGAACCCTCAGAATGTATTGGTCGCAATGGAGATGTTAACATCAATCCACGGTTTGATTTTGATGCACGTTTCCAGTGAAGCCTCTGGACGAAAAGAAAATTGATGGTTTGGGCAGAAAATGGAAAAGTGGAAACTGAAATGGCTTTAGGTGGATGCCAATCGTTCTGTATTTTCACTTACAATCAAATTAGCCAGTGCAATCCCTATAATATCTCTGTTAGTAGCAATATCGAGGCTTAAAATTGAATTGCTGTTCAATTCAGATGCTTTTGATTTAGGATCTTCAACACATTGACCATTAACTTTAACCAACCAGCTGTGTCCAGAAGAAGCCTTAAATAGTTCCTGGAACACAGGAATCAGATATTTAGAACTCCATGAACTGATTATAAACTTAATTACTGATATCATCACTTGTAAAAACTAGCAATTGTAAATTCAATGGTGCATAATAAGGGACTATGAGATGTCAACACACAATGTTACGTAACCTACAGGTTCCATCAGTGTACAACCATAAAGTATTACATTTTCTTTTCTTTTTTTTCTTTTTTTTAATGTACACATGCAACCCTATTATTTCATGGGGAAAGAAATAAAGAACATACCTCCAAGTTCTCTGTCTGAGGCCAAATTAGAAAATCTTCCCCAATTCGAGAACCCACTATGCTGACACCAAGTCTCCGGCATATCTCAATATAAATGATACTCAGCATAATAGCTGTCAGAAAAATAAGTAGAAGACCAGAAATTAAACATTTGAAGAGTTAAGATAGTGAAAAATTGCAGTCAGTAGCACAATAAGAACAGATGAATCTACATTAGAAGCTTGAAGCTTACCGCTTCCACGCCCAGAGCTAAGTACCATGTGCAAGTATGAGACCTTTGAATCTACAAGCACAGGAAATCTTTTAAAGCCTCTCAATTCAAAGAGAACAACATTTACAGCTTCCAAGACTTCCACCAAGTGGCAGCCAATATCTCTTGGGACTAGCTCTGCTTCCACTTCCTTTGCTATAATCTCCAACTCTTTTAACCAACCAGATATCGTCCTGCCAGCTAAAGAAATTTCATCTACGTCATGGCATTTCAGTTGAGATTCTGATGGCAGTGAAGCATCATTCCGTTCACTTAGAATAGAGTGTGCATCCATGTCTCGATTGTAAGCCATGAAAGCTTCATCTTCAGCAGCAACAAGCAACAAAGCCTACAATAAGTACATGAGAACAAACCAAAATAAGTAACATATATCACAGAGATTTACGACTAATACGGAAAGAGAGGGCATAAAGCTGAAAAAAGAAGTGAACAAGACCAGAAGAGCAAAAAATAAAGTAATGAATTCAACTCCAACAAATGAGAATGCAAATGTATATATTCTTACCAAACACAACCTCCTCCAAAAGATAAAATTGGCAAAATGAGAGGCGTCATTATAATCTTATGCATATGTCAGATATGAACCATTTAACCAATTTGGCAAGGATGTGCGTCGTTCTAGAAGGATTTAATCAAACTACAAACTATAAGCATTTGCCAAATAGCCCAACTCATAAGAAAAACATGGCTAAGGATGTGTAATATAACAACATATTGTATAGGCTTTTTGAATCCAGAATTTATAGATGAAAAAACCCCCCATCTAACTGCCAGCACTATGTGAAGAGTGAAACATTAAATGAAGCTTTGACAATGTCGTACACCATTCAAAAAAAACCATGTACACATAAAGACCAATATTATCATGCCATACAAGAAACTCCATTATACAATATAGAAGCAATAGTATCTAAACATATTTCAACCAGAAAGAATCTCATTACAAACCCCACAAAAGGCCAAGAGGAACCGAAAGAGGTAAGGAAGGGAAGAAGAAAAAAAACAAGACACGATAAAAGATTAAAGTGACATCCATTGGTTTTATGGGAAATAATTATGCGTGGCATCACACATTGCTTCATGACTTGTATACCAAAGATAAGTAGATACTCATATTATCCCCTTGTCTCCTTACATAGATCCAAAAATTGTTTGCAATATCTAAGATGGGAAGCTTTCCATTTTGACATGCTATCGTGTCATAGGCTGCCAAGAAACTCCCCTCCTTAGACCAATAAGCAATAAATATTAATAATAAAATTAGAAATTCTTTGGAAACTATAAAGATATTCTTATTCAATATTCTTCTTAGAAACAACCCGTGTCAGATGAGGACACATAAAATGGTGACGTCAAACACATTTTAATTGTTACACTAGAAAGAACTCACTGGGCTGAAATGAAAGAAGTTCACAGTTATCGCAATTTAATCTAGCTTTGATCATTACCTACAAGGTATAGTATGATTCATACATTAGCAATCACAGATGAAATATTGATGTACCTTGACAAGAGAAATATCCTTATCCTTGGACCTGAATGAGATCTCCTGTGTGAACTTCTCCCTCGCAACCTTCATCATCTACCCAGAGCATCATAATTTTCAAAAAAAAAACTCAAATGGGTATCAGTCAAATAAGCAAATATCCTGATAGAGCACAGAACCAGACCTCAAGATTGAAATTAGGATGGCAATTCGATGTCCGATTGCTCTGAGCAGAAGCCACAGCCAAAATGGGCTCCCCAGCTTGTATCCTGTTCCTCTTATTCAAACTCCTCCGCTTCCCACAATAACTAAACCTGCTAATAATTAATCAGTAACTGAATAATTCAACAATTTAGAATCTTTCATACTCCAATTATTACCTGAGCAATGGGGAGCCGCTGATCAAAGAAGAGAAGGCTGACATAGTGAAATCTACAGTAGGAATGATGAAATGCAGAGGAGAAGCGAGCATTTTCTAATGGAAAAATTCGAAGGGGACAGGTGTCGAACGGTTGGTGGGCGTGGCAATGGCACCTGGCTCTAAGCTTGCAGACAGATTGAAGGAAGAAGACGACAATGAAGGTGCAGTAAAAACTCCTTCCTCCATGCCCCTTTGATGAGAAATGACTAATACTGGTGACGAGGAGGAGAACCCAAATCGCAGAACCACCATTAGAGAGCTTTTGTCGAGTTGCTATTTTATGTTGGGCTTTGTTCAGATTATTTTTGGCCTTTTTGCTCTTTTGGGTGTTTGCTTGAATCGACTCTTTGTGCCCATCTGAGGAAGATGATGATGAACAAGCAAAGAGTGAATGGATTGCTTGGTTCTTTGTATATAAATAGCTATTTTTGTTTCTATTTTTTATTTTATATTTTATAAAGAGATATACGGAAGGATAAATATATGAACTGTACGGTGGGGAGAAATTGGCAGGAAAGTCCACAAACATTTATTTGTCGGACTCGTTACTGGAATTACTTTTTTTTATTTATTTACTTACTTAGTCAATGTCCCAAAAGCAATATCTTCAGAATTGTGCTAGGGGCACACTCTCAACCACACCCTCCACCACACCTCCTCTCCCTCTATAGTGCATTGGGTCCCACATCAAATTTTTTAAAAAAAATTGATGTGGAGCCCAATGCACTATAGGGGGAGAGGAGGTGTGGTGGAGATTGTGGTTGGGGGTGTGCCCCTAACATTTCTAATATTTTCATGTGCTGCAGCCCCTTTATTTTTTTCTCATCTGGTTCAGCCCTAAAAAGTGTGACATCTTGTGTTGTAACCCTCTTTTAGCAATTATTATCCGTCAACTCAACATAGAAAGAGGATAAAAAGTACAAAACCCCAAAATGCCCTTATCTTTTTCATGTTAGGTCTATTTAGAACTAACATGAACTCTTATTAGAACTAACAAGAACTTTCATTAGAACTAATTTAATTTCTTTTAAGTCTAATTTAAATCATGTTATGTCTAATTTAACTTCTTTTAAGTCTAATTTAATTGAACTTAATATGAAATTAGACTTAAATTTTTAAATTAGACTTAACATGATTTAAATTAGACTTAAAAGAAATTTAACATGATTGAAATTAGACTTAAAATTTCGTGTTAGGTCTAATAAAAGTTCATGTTGGGTCTAATTTCATGTTAGGTCTAATAAAAATTCGTGTTAAGTCTAATTCCATGTTAGGTCTAATAAAAGTTCGTGTTAGGTATAATTTCATGTTAGGTGTAATAAAAGTTTGTGTTAGGTCTAATAAAAGTTCATGTTAGGTCTAATTGGAGTTCATGTTAGTTCTATTTCGTGTTCGTGTCTAATTGGAGTTCATGTTAAAATCTCATGTGGACTCCGTACACTGTAGCAAGAGAGGTGGTGTGGTTGGGAGTGTGGTAGAGGGTGTGCTCCTATCATTATTTTTTACACGCGAGACCTCAAAAAAATCTTAGAGAAAATTGTGTCAAAGCCCAAAAACAATATTTTCATGTGTTGCAACACTTTGGCTTTTTTCCTCATGTGGTTCAGTCTCAAGAAGTGTGATGTCTTATACTACAGATATCTTTTAGCAATTATTATCTGCCATTTTTCCACATTTGATGAAACTAGTCAGAAATACAGTTTACGAAAATACACATCGAATTTAGTTTTACAGAATACCACCGTAAATTTAAAGATTGCCTCCGTAAAAATAGAGAATATAATATATGTATCTCCTTCTACAGCGGAGGAGAAATAGAAAGCGTAGGTTGTCTTATTCCTACCGAGCGGGAACCTCATCAAAAGATGACTTTAGGGATTAGATTCCTATTTTCTCATTTAAAAATCAAAATAAAAAACCAAGAAAAAAAGGGGGAAAGGAAGCGTGTGGGGCCCGGGCGCGGATGCGTGTGAGCAGCGTGACCTGACTACGCGCGCGGCGCAGGGCTTCCCCCTATCAGGTTTGCCCTCCGTACGTGTGCCATGTGCGTGGGAAAGAGATTTTCACTGGAGTCCTATGATTTTTCAAATTTGTATGCACTACCTTTCGCAACTAGCAAGTTTTAAATAGGGTAAATAACACTAAATCCCACGTGAGGTTTGCAACTTTGACAAAAACTCCCCCCTGAGGTTTAGAAAGTAACACTTTCTGCCCCTCGTTATTAGTTCTCAATCTTATAGGGTCGCATGATACTTATGTGACCCCTTAATTAATGACCAACATACCCTCTAGAATTTTTTCAAAAATTTATCTCCAGCGTATTTCATCTTCTAGTTTTTTAAAACCATTTTGTAATTGTCATAAAAAACTATTGAGCTAAGAATAAATTTTTTAGCTTTCATTGATTCTCCCCTTAAAATTTTCATCCAAGAAAACAAGACAAATTCATTTATTTTTATACTTTATGGAGTTATAGGGTTCAAATTTCCTAAAATAATAAAAGGAAAAAAAAGAAGAAATAACTAACTCTAGTAAAAAAATGAAATGGAGAAGGAAAATTATGGTAATGATGCTTTTAATGATATTTTGGTCCTTAAGTAATCACGCGAGTATCATGTGATCCATTACATCAAGAATAAATAGAGAGAGGAGAGAGTGTTGGGGAATTTTAGTCCCCCCGCCTACTACGATCTCCGCAACTCGGAAGCTAACCCACGGTCAATAAGATAGAAAATAACCGCAATCAAGAAGAAAGAACACTAAGATTTACATAGTTTGGTCGATCTACGTCCACTCCACGGGCAACAATACGAGAAATTCACTATATATCAGAGAGAACTACAAGATGATCCACTCAACTCGGGTCTCTCAATCTCTCAACTTCACATACATAATCAACTCTCATATTATCTCCAAAGCACTCTTCTTAATCTTTTGAACGGACAAAGACTGTGAAACTCTCTCCCAGTGATGTAATCTTTTGCACAGATAAAGACTACGAAACCCTCACCTAATGATGTAATCTTTTGCATGGATAAAGATTACGAAACCCTCGCCTCTCGCACAATATTCCTGAATCAGGCTACGCCCTCTGCTAACCCTAGATTACAAGAATATTGACTCTTTCTCCTCTGCTTGATTTTTCCTCCAACAATAAAAGAAAATATATAGGGAAACCAAAACTCTATCTCTATCCTGACTTTCTAATTAGAATAGGTTTCAAACTCCTAATCATGATGAAACCCAATCTCCTAATCATGATAGATCTCTAACGCTATCTAATTCTCATGAAGTTATACAAATAATCAAAGACACAATCCTAACAGAAAATGTCACTTTCTAAACATTAAGGTGATTTGTTGTCGAAGTTGCAAACTTTAGGGGGGTTTAGTGTTTTTTACTCACTGACCAACTCCTAAAGTATCAACGAGCCTGACTCGAGTAATGAGCCAACCGACCCGACTCGCGATCTAAATCCAAGCCGAAAGGTGCTGCCGACTCGAATTCTGTTGAGATGTCGAGGTGAACAGCGTCCTCCTCTCGGACCCAGCACATCACATCTCTAATAGTCATTCGCATGACAAGCGTTCCTTAAAAGTCATGTATCATTTAATGAACATCCTATCAACACCCACAATTCGTCACCCAATCAACATCGGTATTTAATGCGACGTCGGTCATAATGACTATGTGAGCCACGACCTTAAAAACTCCTCAGATAGGCCATAATCCCAGTCCTTTCGCTATGCAAAGCTGACTCGACCAAGAGATTACCGACACATGTAAAGTAGGTCTGAACTAGTACTGCATGCACTCACCCAAAATTACCAATGTGCCTTCATAATCCCTCTATAAATAATGATGATTTCCACCATATCAAGGCGGACACTAAGACACACAAAAGTCAACAAGACATACTCTTAATTTTTTTTCTCTTCAATTAGCTAGAAAAAATCATTAACTTGAGCGTCGGAGGGCATGTCAGAATAAACAACCTCCGACACCTCTAACATTTGTTACATGTGCAACGGAGCATAGGTTTCAATCCACAGTGGGAAGATAAACTATCAGGGGAGATCAGAGGACCCAAAAATGAAATTCAACACTCTTAAAAACCACACATTAATTTTCTAATGTAAACACCTGTGTATAGACCCCCGTGTAATATTAGGTCAAACGCGGACACACACGCTAAGTGAACTTTTTCTATGCTTTGAAAACTCAAAATATTTAGCAATTGGACGTCTATCCTCACCAATAGAATTATAAGAAGTCTATCAATAGTAAAAAAAATCGCTTAGGGGGTCTATTTGCAATAAGTAAAACTACAAAGGGTCTATTCACAACAAATAGAACCATAAAGGTTTTTTTTTTTTTGCAATTGAGTGATACCACAGAGGGTCTATTCTCAATTAGCCCTTTTCCCACTATTTTTAGATCCTTAAAAAAAAGGGGGAAATGTAAAAGGAAAGAAAATAAATAATAAGTAATGGGCATAGTGCTTCAATAAGCTTCGCATCGAGATTAAGCCAAACTCATCCTCCTCCTCTTCTTTTTAAAATCCAAATGACGAATATTAGGGATGAAACTACAATGTTTATTTTCTTATTACATTTTTGTTTTTACTTGGTAGTTGGAAGAAGAATAATCTCTCAGAAATGGCCTACCCAACTTTCCTGTTCTCGTGGAAATTTTTTATCCTTAACAGTGTTAATATGCACCTAACACCATTAAACTAGTTTTCCTTGCTTTTAAAGGTTATCTCTTCCAAAGGCTAGGAGTAGGTTATCTTTCTTTGACTAAATAGAATGACTTGCTCAAACAAGTACATGCCACTAAAAACGTTGTTCATCAATTCTAGAACGTACAAAACTTTGGAGAGGGAAAAAGGGGGATTTTTTAGTTTCATTTTTAATGTGCAAAGCATGAATAAAGGCATTAAGTAGATTGGACATGAAATTTGAAGGCTATTAAAGTTTCTAAACATTTCTTTTGTTCTTCTATAGATTTGTCTATCGAAAAGAAAAGCAGTAATTACAATAAAAATAATGTTGATAAAAAATTGGTTATTAATTTCAACAAGAAAAATGTGTGAAATATGGGTTACTAGAAAAGATTCTAAATACAATATTGATTTTAGGGATCGAAATCATCTTAAATAGACGGTAATTAGAGAGTTCCTAATTACCCTAATTCTTACCTTTCATTTCAATTTCAGTGGCTGAGGTGAAGCCACATAGGGCTCTAAATATTTTTTTTTAAAATAATGATTGTTTAAAATGGTATTGCGATAGTTGAAATCCTACATAACTTAGTATCAGTCGTTGGAGTTAGAATAAAGAGATATGATTAGGATAATTAGACACTCTTCGATTATTGATACGGTTCATATAAGAAACTTCTTTATTGGAGTGGGGTGATTTACACCAT